TTTTAGCTTTTGTTTGAGACAGGAAAGCAGAACTTGGTACCTTCGCTGCAGAAAAACTCTGGCATGTACATTTATAGGACTTTTCACCATTGTAGTTCCTTTCAGAGCTCTTCCTCTGAGGCTTCTTCCTGGACAGGAAGGCTGGACAGATCCCTAAAGGGCAATTAACATCATTGATGTCCACTGATACTCATGTTTTAGTTTTAACCTCCGACCTAGCAAAAACCACAAGCAGGATTTAGGATTCACCTTGTTCTGATTTGAACTAGAAAGGCAATTTATGCATGCATATCTAAGGAGGTCTAGAATTTATTTTGATTATTACTCAAGTGGTCCTTGTATGAGATTTTAGATAACTACAGGTAGTCTATGACTTACAATAGTTTGTTTAGTGAGGGTTCAAAGCTACACCACCACTGAAAAAAGTGACTTGTGACTGTTTTTCACACTTATGACCATTCACTGCATTCCCATGGTCACCTGATCAAGCTTCAGGCGCTTTGCAACTGACTCATATTTATAAGGGTTGCAGTGTCCCCGGATCATGTGATCACCTTTTGTGATCTTCTGACAAGCAGAGGCAAGTGGGAAGCCAAATTCAATTAACAACAGTGTTACTAACTTGACAACTGAAGTGATTCACTTAACAAATGTGGCAAGTAAACTCGTAAAATGGATCCAAAGTTACTTAACTGTCTTGCTTAGCAACAGAAATTTCAATCGCAGTCATAAACCGAGGATTTTCCTTATTGCTATTGAAGCTTTTCCCATACTTCTTCAGCTGATACGGTTTCTCCTGTGTGTGGATCCTTCTGTGGCAAGTAAGAGCGTTACTCCTTGCAAAGCTCTTCCCACACTCCATGCATTCATATGGTTTCTCTCCTGTGTGGATTCTTTTATGGGAAGTGAGATCACAAATCCACCGAAAGCCCTCTCCACAGTCCGCACATTGATATCGTTTCTCTGTTGTATGGATCCTCTTGTGGGAATTGAGGCTACTGCTAAAACTAAAGCATCTTCCACACTCCTTGCATTTGTATGGTTTCTCCCCTGTGTGGATCCTTTTATGGGAAGTAAGATCACAATTCCACCTAAAGCCATCTCCACAGTCCACACATTGATAGGGCTTCTCTCCTGTGTGGATCCTCTTGTGGGAGTTAAGGTAACTGCTATGAATAAAGGTCTTTCCACACTCCATGCATTTATATGGTTTCTCCCCTGTGTGGATTCTCTTGTGGGAACTAAGGTTACTGCTACAACTAAAGGTCTTTCCACACTCCATGCATTTATAAGGTCGTTCTCCTGTGTGATTCCTTTCATGACTTCTAAGAGAGTGATTATTACAGAGGGTCTTTCCACACTCCCTGCAAGTAAATTGTTTCTCTTCTGAATGTGTCTTTTTATGGGAAATGAGATGAGCAGATTTATTAAAGCTCTTTCCACACTCCGAGCACTTGTATGGTTTTTCTCCCGTATTAATGCTTGTATGGTTAGGAAGCCATCTGATCCAAGGAAAGCCTTTTATAATTCCACTCTGTGATTGGCTTGTCTCATCGCTGTTTGGTTGCATCTGATCAGCAAACTTCCCTTTTCCCTCTTTTGGATGGAGCGTTTGGCCTTCCTCCTTGTAATTCTTATTGTCTTGCCGATTATAGCCTTGAAAAAGAAAAATGAAAACTGTAGCAAAAATGGGGTAACGATCAAACCTTTGCTTCTGAAATTTAGCCAAAGAATCATCAATATATTTTGGCAAATGCCAAGGTGCCAAATGAAGATGTTATCAAATACCCATTTCTAAGTGGGCTCCTATGAATCCTGATATATTAGGATTGAATGACATCACAACAAACCAAAGACAATTCCCTGATCTAGTCTTTGTGATGACCTACCGGTAGGACAATTCCTTGGTGCCATGAACACCCAATGTTTTGGACACTATATCATGCTGAGCAGGAACATACCCACCAGCTCCCTAACTTCAATGAAGTCTCACCTTCACTTGCCTGCAGAGTAGAAACACTGAAAATCAATAACTTTTCTGGAAGGTAATAACTCCCCATCCTCAACCTGGATGGATGCCAAATAAGAGTACACAAATGGGCCCATTTCTGAGAAAGGAATGGACACAAATTGATCTTTGATATGCATGCCAATCTGGTACTTCATCCACCTTCAGACTATGGCTGTGGACAGTCATACTACCGTATTTTTCAGTGTATAAGACGCACTCCCCCCCAAAAAAGTCTGTACATCTTATACAGTGAATCTTGCTGAAGCCCCGCCCATACGCTGACCCCCACCCTTCGCCCTCTACCTCCCAGCAATTTGCCTCCTTGCAGCAAACAGCCTGGTCAGCTTCAGCACAGCCTGATTTAGCATAAGCAGCTGATTGTCGGTTGGATTGGCCTCGCACGTGACCCATTTTTGGCTTCCGTGTCCCATTTTCGGCCTCTGCACGCCCCATTTTCAGCATCTGCGCACCCCATTTTTGGCCCATTCTGATTCCCACCGCCTGGGACGGGCCAAAAATGGGGCGCGCAGAGGTCAAAAACAGGATCCTGAGGTCAAAAACAGGGTGCGCGGAGGTGGCGATAGGCGATGGCGATCCCTGCAGCCTGAACAGCTGATTATCGGTATTCCAGGAGGCCGATCCAACTGACGATCAGCTGCCCGTGCTAAGTCAGGCTGTGCAGAAGCTGACCAGGCTGTTTGCTGCAAGGAGGCAGAGGCAGATTTTTTTTTTCGTGTTTTCCTCCCCCAAAGCTAAGTGCATCTTATAGTTTGGAGTGACTTATAGTTCAGAGCGTCTTATAGTCTGAAAAATACAGTATTTATCAAGCTGGCATTCAATAACATTTGGCTTTGAATAGCAGCTCAGGCTACTCAGGCCCATCAGGGACCCAGGGACCAGGCTCAATATTAAGCCCTGGAAGGCAGGACCTTGCTCAAAGAAAGCCGCACCATCCCTACGTATAGCCTCTCCCCCAGATTCCTGCTAATATCTTCTATAGCGGGGGTCTCCAACCTTGGCAATTTTAAGCCTGGCGGACTTCAACTCCCAGAATTCTGGGAATTGAAGTCTGCCAGGCTTAAGGTTGCCAAGGTTGAAGACCCCTGTTCTATGGCATGGAAATGAGTATTTTTCATTTTATGAGCAGAGAGCATTTTGAAAGAAAGCGACTTCCTTTTATGTAAAAAGGGAGCCCATGCAGTTTTCCAATTTTTCTTTCAATACATTTCCTTCTTCCATAGAGAGCCATTTGGTCCAATGGTTAAGGCACTGAGGCTAGAAACTGAGTGACCTTGAGTACTAATTTTGCCTTAAGCATGAACGCTGACTTTTGGCCTATGTCCCTCAACCCAACTCATGCCGCAGGGTGGCTGTTTAGGAAAAACAGCAAAGAAAGGAGTATTAAGTATGCCTGCTGTCTTTTATTTACAAAAAAATAATAAAGGCAGGATAGAAATAAGTTACTTCCCCCCCCCCAGAAATAACATTTAAGCCTCTCATCCCATGCCTTCTCTACGTTCTTGAGCACAGACAGGGGTTCTTACCGAGAGAAAGGAGATTCCTGGAATTCTCCAGCATGACTTCTCCGTGGAGTGCTTTTTGGTCAGGATCCAGCTGAGACCACTCCTCCTCGGAGAAATACACGGCCACTTCCTCCAAAGACACAAAATCCTGAACAAGGAAACAAGTTTCCCTATTAACAGATAATCCCAAGAATAATTTGACAGGTTTCTTTCACCAGTTCTAGGAAAGAGATGCCGTGAACAAAATAGGCATCTTTTGCAAATTCTGAATGAGATCTCACTACTTTTGGCTGACAGCACAACTGAAGCACATTTGATCAAGTAGGAAGGACTCAGAATGCCTTTTTTTTATTATTTTATAAATTTTCATTCATAAACATCTTTGAATAATAATGCATTGGCAGAGCATTATTTACAAATAAAACATGACCAACATACATTGGTAATAAATCTCAACATACAAATTAATAGCAATAGTAATGGTAGAATACCAGTACTAATAGCATAACCAAAAGAGTTGATCTAGATTTCTTCTCACATTAGATTAATTACATTTTTATCAATTACTACATTTATATTTATCTACCTCTTTACTTTCAATATATATATTAACCTTCATAATCTTACTTTCTCTAATTTCTACCTTTTCTCTATCCATTCATATAATTTATTCCATGTCTGCAAGTATTCTGAATCATCTTAGTCTTTAATTTTTAAAGTGAATCTATCCATTTCAGCACAGCCCCAAATTTTCCTAATTATAGCTTCATCCAGTGAAGTATTCATATTTTTCCAGTATTTAGCATATGTCATCCTTGCTGCCGTCAATATGTATAACACTAAATATGTGGTCGCTTTGTCAAAATCTTCTGATAGTATACCAGAATGCCTTTCAACGAAGCCAGTTAGCATCGCCTTCTTGGCCAATTGGTCTTAAACCTACTACTTATCAATGGCTTCCATTCTTCCTAGAGTGAGCAGAAGGAAACCCAGGGAAAACCCATTTGAAATTTTTGCCAATGGTTTATTTATCAACGGAGGGAACCAACTCTTCCCCCCAACCCACACCTCCATGAAGGTGTTGGGGGAGCTGGTAATGATATATGAGAATGACCCTGGAGACAGAAAGAGTATCTCCAGCCAAGATAACATCTGGTCAAGTGAGTCTGAGCCTGAAGCAGGAGAGTGGAGAAACCTTATCAGAAGGGACAAGTTAAGCTGAGTTTGAATTTTCAATGACCTAATCTAAATTTTGAGGTGCTTAGAAACAGCAACAGTATACACTGAACTCCAGAACAAAATGAAACCGATCCAAGATTCATGGATTTTTATCAGTGTTTCTCCTCCTACCTGAGGCAGGGGTTCAAGCACTCTTACAGCTCCATCAGAAACAGGAGACAGTTCTAAAAAATCCAAGGACAGAAAATGTTAGAAGCACGTTTGTTAAATAGAGAGATTACAATCAAGATGTCCAAACCTGACATCACATGTAAGGTGCTTCTGTTACCTGGCGTGGTGTCCTGACTTTGATCTTTCTGGAAGCTGTCCCTGAATTGCAGCTCTTGGAAGAATTTGGATGACTCTTTCCTCTCCTTGGTATAATCGGATATATCTTCCAAGGACTTCTGGAGGTATTGTTCCAGGAGAAGCAAGGAAAGAGGGAAAGAAACGAATTATCACACTGCATTCTCAATCTAGCAGACCACAATATCCAACGCTGAAGCTGGAAAGCAAGAACAGAAGAATTGCCCCAAATATATCTTCTGGAACAAGAACTGAACAACTGACTTTAGGAGGTTATAATTCCAGAAAACTCTGCCAGGGAGGAATTGAAAATTTCAGAGAGATCCTCTTTAGAGGTGCCACGATTACATTCTCACACCTGCAACTCTTCTTGCACCTTTTCCAACTCCTGGGTCAGCAGGAAGCCTTCTGCCAAGTCCACTGCTTGGGAACTGGTCTCCGCTCCACACTCCCGCACCCATTTCTCCACCGTTGGGGGAAGGACAGCCAGGAACTGCTCCAGGAGCACCAGGTCCAGCATCTCAGCCTTGGTGTGTATTTGTGGCTTCAGCCACTGACAGCAAAGGCGGTGAAGCTGAGTGCAAACATCTCGGGGACTCTTCCCCTCCTGGAACTGCACTTTGCTGAAGTCACAACATTGGACCTCTGAACTGCTGGCTTCATTGTTTTGGGTCTTCTGCCCAGGATTTGCCCCATTCTTCCCACAGCTCCGAGGCTGAGCAACTGTAGGGCATTTTCCAACTCCTGCATATGTTGGGTGTTGTCCTTCCATCTTCTCCCCGGCCAATAATCCAACTCCAAAATGAACTGATGGATCTCTACACGACTTCGCTTGCACAAGAAGTCTGGACAAAACTCCCAAGGCCTTCAGCTCTATTCCTTCACAAGATACTTAAGCCACCAAAGGAACCAGGAAAGATTTCCAACTAACAAATCTGAAATGGAAAACATGGGGTGCTTAATAGGGTTCGTAAAGTAACTACCGAACAGCCTCCACCTCCTCAAAAAAAAACAACCCTCTCAAAATAAGAAATTCTTATGGAAGTCTCAATGTCTGGGAAGAAGGCAGGAATCTTATTAGGAAGACTGACTTTTCTATGTTTGAAGAAAATTCCAGTGAGCCCTTTTGTATCAGCTACTATCGCCTACTGGATGAATATGTTAAAATATGTTTTGGATTTCTGTCCCCTAATTATTTATTCACCTAATTTCAATGGCTGCTTATAAATTTAACAACTATCTCAGCACAATCCAAATCAAAATGTCTAGAGCCATTGAGATGAGAAACTATCTAAATCAATTTAATAACGAAACCAATGAATGTTTAGTCTAGTACATAAAGCTTTAACTAACAGAACCCCATTAACCTCCTGGCCATAAACCCTGGGTGAACTTCAGAAGCCAGAATTAACAAACCACCATCCAGCACACATAGAACTAATATCCGAATGAATAAACCATCTATGCCAGTGGTGGCTAACCTTTTTGGGCTCCTGTGCCAAAAGCTGTGTGTGCACTCACACGCTCGCGCTCCAGCACCCAGAAAGCAATGCGCCCCCCCCATGCCCCCTACACATGCGCACTCAACCCACCCACCCACTGCCGCCCTGCACTGCGCCTCACAGCTGATTTTCGGCAGGTATGAGGCTTTTTTCAGCCTCCCAAAGGCTTGAGGAAGGCTTCTGCAGGCTTTGCAGGCAGAAAACTAGCCCCATTTCATCATTTCCAGTAAGTGACGAAACGGGGCTAGTTTTCGGCCTGCAAAGCCTGCAGAAGCCTTCCTCAAGCCTTTGGGAGCCCAAAAAGGACCTCAAGCCTGCCAAAAATCAGTTGTGAGCCGCGCACATGTGCAGTGAGGTAAGTTTGCCTGCAGCTCGGGTGCCGGCACAAATGGTTCTGCGTGTCACCTGTGGCACGCATGCCATAGGTTTGCCATCACGGATCTATGCTTTAACATGATGTTTTGAAATTCAGGCACATCCTTAGAAATCTTTTCCCACTTTTAGCCTAATCCTGTCTTTTTTTTTCAAAATTGTCCAATTGAAAACGTCCTGATTTAAACTCCAGGAACTTACACTGGCCAAGATTTAAAAACAAACAAACACTGGCCTAATCGAACAAACAGTGTAGTGTGTGAATGATGGACCTCAGCCCCAGGCGCACCTCCGTCCTCCAGCTGGGAAAGCAGGAACCTGAGTCTTTGCACCCCTTGCACGCAACTCCTTGCACCCCTTGCACGCAACTCCTTGCACACGCAGTTGCAGCCTTGCATGCAGAGAGCCAGCAAGAAGGACTCAGACCTCTCGCTTCCTCCGGCCTAGGAAGTGGGGGGGGGAGGAGGAGGCAGGGGAAATGGTCCCTTCTGAAAACGGGGCCAAGACATTGGTAGGAAATTGTCCAGGCGTCAAGACTGACTTGAAGCAACAAATCTGCAAAGTCGACCTTTCCTCCCCCCACCCCCCGCAGCTACCCACGCCGGTCTTCCCCAACGGAACGGAGGCTAAACGTCTCCCACGTTTCTAGATAGCCTGAGCTGGTTCCCCGCCCTCTCCGGGGTCACAATTTTTGCTTTCTACCCTATGTGGCCCGTGCACGCCCAGGGGACCATGGGAACCCTCCCCCGGGTTTCCTTCTTTCTCACGACCTCGAGCATTTACGTGTCTCCTAGAAACCCTCCGCCGCGAGATAAAAGACCCACCAAGCTCACTGAAACGAGTGGATCGCCATCCGCTAAAATCTTCCTTGACAGGCTCAGGGGGATAAAAGCTCCGCCTAAAGGCTCGCAACGAGGCGAGAGCAGAATCGGAAACTACAAGGAAAGGCTGACGCTCTTCCAACCTTTTCCCGGAAAAAAAAAAATGCCTCGCGAACGTCACGCGTATCTCTTGAACAACAGAAACAGCCAGGCGCATGCTCAGTTCCCTCCTTGAAGCGTGGTGGGAAGGCGGGTGGAGGCGGTTCGATTTTTCCGACGGCTGCGGACAGAGCCCCCTGCTGGATTCTGCACGCAATTGCCGCAGTTTTCCGCGAGGGGAGAAACGATTATATGGTCCCTATGGGCCTGGGGATGATGGGTCTGGGAGTCGAAAATGAGCCAAAAAAAACCCAAACAAAACAAAACAAAAATCCTGTCAGAAACGGCAGGGCTGTCAAAAGACAAGAAATCAGGAGCCTCTCTTGATGAAACCCAGCTTTTGTCTTTGTGACTGATGGCAAAGTCGCGAAATGAGGGGAGGATTTTGGGGGGGGGGGGGGGGCTGGGAAAGCACAAGATTAGGAAAATTAAGGTTTATATTGATTGTCCAAGTTTGACAGCCGCCCTTCTCAAATCCATGCCTCTGGGTGGCTAAGGAGGGTTGGGAGCACCAAGAGGCAGCCTGTAATAAGGAGAGCAATCGTGAGAAGAAAAGATCCTGATGAAAAAGAGGCATTGAAGTAAAACAAGTCCCAAAATGGAGAAAAAGCTGAAAGCCATGGAGATTTTAGAATTTTTTTTACCTCAGAACAAAGCGCTATGATGGAGAATGGGAGAACGCGTCTCATCTGTGACTGGAGAACAAGTGGCGTTACAAAACGAAGAGAGAAGAGAATGATAACTTTATTGTCACTTTGAATGTACACTAATCGGCATATATTAACATGAAATTTCATTGCATACAGCTCTCAAAGGATCACCACCTCCAATATACAGTACATAAACATGACAAAATAAATAAATACAAAACTATGCATATACCCACATATATTATGGGACTCAGAGAAACAACACAGTCTGGTTCAGATATATTCATGTACATGGTGAGAAAAACGAATCTTGTGAGTTTACCAGATGGATGGCATAGGGAACACAGCTGTTTCAGAATCTGGTAGTTCTGCTAGAAATACTTTTAAACCTCCTCCCAGAGGGGAGCAACAGAAACAGACCGTGATATGGGTGTGTGGGGTCTCTAACAATGCTTTGAGCTCTAAGCACATAGCACTTATAAGCAGTATCCTGAATAACAGGAAGTGATTTTCCTATAATCTTCTCAGCTGTCCTTACCACTCTCCCTATGGATTTTCTATCTGAGGCATTGCTGCCACCAAACCAAACAATGATGCAGTTTGTTAAAACAGAAAAGGAGGCAAATACTAAAAGTAAATACCAAGTTCAAATACTATAAGGCCCCCTCCAAAAAGGACAACAACAATAGGTTTATTTAGGTGCTGAATAGGAAAATTGCGGCAGGAAATATAAATCATAAGCTTAAGACCTTCAAAGTAAAACAGAGGTGTCAAAATGTTGGCCCACAGGCCAGATGCGTCACATGTAGGCCACGCCCACCCCAGCTCCACCAAAAGGAAAAACATCCCGAAACGTCACACAACGGCAATGTGACATGGCAAGTTTGACACCCATGAAGTAAAAGAAGGTCGTGTCAAGACCGACTTGCACTTTTACCTACACACACAGCTTGACAATAACAGGGAGGGGTGGATGGAATGCAAGGGTGGGAGAATGGTATTCAAGCATCCATCAGCACCGTGGGACATTGCTGGAATGTTTCCCATAACAAAAATGAACAGGAATGATTGATGGACATTATGAACTGTGGGTGGCCTGTAAAGAAAAGGAGAAATTAACTATGCCTACTTTTGCGGGGGGGAAACCCAGAGCTGGTTTTGTTTCTTCTGCGCCAATGTGGTTTATTCAATAAAGTTTTATACTCTTGATAAAATAATGTCCCAGGAGTTTCTTTTTCTGGATTCGCTAACTGGACAGTTGACAGGTCTTTTTTTTTCTTGCCAAAAGAAATGATGGCTTCACTGTTTTGAAGAGTAGTCTGCATTTGAAACTGGCCGTGCAAGAAAAGAAAGAGATTTTGCCACAATTAACAATGAATGTGAACGGAAGGAAAATTAAGAAGCAGTTTTTTAAAAATGGAATTAACTCCTCTCTCTTACCAACAGCATGGCTCTTTTTGGCCTTTTAAAAAAAACTTATCAAGGCTCCTTCTATCTCTAACCTTCTCCTCCTTCTACCTCCTTTTGTTTTCCCTAATGAAAAAAAAATTAACAAAATTGACGGAAATGGCCACAGAACAAAAATTGGTGCCCTTTCTACAATCTCAACCAGAACCAACAATGGGCAATATTTCAATAAATAGCTTCAAACCACCATGAACTGTCAGATGCAAGAAGTCAGGAATTGGAAAGTACCACATGTTCATTTCATGTTACCTACACACAAGAATCTGAACTAATGAACTGCAAATTGATACCAGATAAGAGTGAACACGCTTCAAAGAGGGGATGGACAAAGAAAAAAAAAATAAACTCATCAAATTTGCAAATGACAGTTTGCAGTTGTTGAACCAGGTACCATCTATTCTATACCTGTGCGTTTGGTTTTTCTTCCTAAGTGTAAAACCTTACTTTTCTCACCACTGAACTGCATTTTATTGAATCGAGACCAGTGTTTAAGTCTGTCAAGATCATTTTAGAACTTGAGTGTAATCATATGGACGCAAATCGGCAATACGATTTTTAAACCAGCCATTTCTTGTCTCCTCTTGATGAGATTATCAAAGTTCCTCTAAAGGGTTTTTGTGAGAGAACTTGGGAGCTGCCTTTATCTTCTCTAAAACTTTTGCACTGAAAGGACAGTTTCCTGTAGCTCAACTAAAGGGGTAAATTATGATCCTAGGTTTTCTGACTTGTAACCTAGGCAAAGCCTTGGCTACTGTTGAACTCCATTGCGGGATTTTACAGTATCCTTCCCCTGGAGTGGGGAAGGAATGGAGATTTTACATTATCCTTCCCCTGCCACGCCCACCAAGACACACTACGCCCACCAAGCCACGCCCACAGAACTGGTAGTAAAAACAAAAATGAATCCCACCACTGTAGGTGACTTTTAACCTATCTCTTTCAGCCCAACCCATGTCACAGGGTTGTAGTTGTAGGGGAAAATAGCAGGAGGAAGGGATATTGGGTATGTCTGCCGCCTTGAGTTATTTCCAAATATTAATGAAGGCAGGTTATAAATGAGTGATCCTTTTTATCAGAAATAAAATCTAAATTCCCACCTTCTTCTCTACGTTTCTACCATAGACAGGGGTTCTTACCCAGAGAAGCCAGATTCCTAGAATTCCCCAGCACTTCTCGGTGGAGTGTTGTTGGTCAAGTTCCAACTGAGGCCACTCTTCCTTGGAGAAATATACAACACCTTGAACAAGGAAACAAGTTTCCCTATTAACAGATAATCTCAAGAATAATTTGACAGTTTTCTTCCAACCAATTCAAGAAGAGAGATCCAATGAACAAAATGGGCATCTTCTGCAGAATTCTGAATGAGATCTCGCAACTTTTGGCTGACAGCACAGCTGAAGGCCATTATGGGTGGGAAACCTTCCCTTTTCCCTCATGCTCAGAATTCTGGGAGTTGAAAACTCAGACAGGCTTTAATTTTTCACTGTCTGCTCACCTGGGATAGCCAGCCCTTCTTGACTGGTGGCTTGACATAAGCCTTTCCTCATTCATTCCCTCTCCATTAAAATAGAAAAGGGAATGAGGTTCTTTGCTTGTCTCAGTGCAGCCTTTTCCTGCCCTTTCTTTGAGTGAGGAGTGGCTCTGATGCTGAGAAAACATTGTGTTTCTGCCTGGTTTTGAATCAGGGTCCTTTTGTGTGTGAGGCAACTGTGATAACCACTACACCACAGAAACAGACTGTTCTCATCCAGCATGCCCATATCTTTTGCTGGCCATTCCAGTCTGATATCTACAGCATCAGAGGGGTTAAGGAGATGTTATTCTTTATGTTTCCTCCCCCTTTTGCATTCTGGAAGGTAAAAAAATAAGATAAATATTTAAATCCTAGTGAGAAAAAAAAAGCATTGACAGTGTGGGAATCAAAGCCCACAGACCTTCACGTCTGAATCATGCCACCAAGCAGGCCATCCCTGGGTAGGCTCGAACCACCATAATTCTAGTTAACAGCCAGATGTGCTAACCCCTTGCACCACAGAGACTTGGCATCAGCCTCTCTCAGTCAGGAGATGCATACCTGGTGCCAGGGCTTCTTTTTGGCTTTGGTAGTGTGGCTTTTTTCTCCTACTGAAAATAAAATCTGGGATGAAAGCTAGAAGGGATTATTCTTATACTACAGTGGTATAAGGCATTGTGTCTTCTGACCAGCATATCTTATTGCTTATTGACTATCCAGCCTCAGCTACAGATGCTCAGGTAGAAGGAGCCGAGGGGGAGGCCTGTGCCAGGTCTCTGTGGCGCAATGGGTTAGCGCGTCTGGCTGTTAACCAGAAGGATGGTGGTTCGAGCCCACCCAGGGACGGCCTGCTTGATGGTTCAGATATGAAGGGGTGGGTTTTTAATGCATCAGGCTTTCCATGTGAGAGCTTCAATTCCCATCCTGCCAATGCTTTTTTGTTACTGAGGCATAAATATTTGTTTATCTGTTGTATCAGCTTTATCTTCCAACATGCAAAAGTGGGATGAAGACACCCTACAGCAGGGTTGAGCAACGACGGCAACTTTATGACCTGTGGACTTCGACTCCCAGAAGTCCAAAATTTGTAATGTTGCCATAGTTGCCCACTTCCGGCTGAACCTGTGCTGGGCGCTCTCCGTGGTCCTGAAACACTTGCCCTTTTCCCATAGCAAGCTCTTTCTTTGTGCCTGTCCTTATACTATCCACGGCTGGCTTTCCTGGGGCTCCTTGAATTAGAATCAGAATCAGAACAGAGCTGGACCTTGGAGGTCTTCTAGTCCAACCCCCTGCTCAAGAATGAGACCCTGCCATTTCAGACAAGTGACTGTCCAGTCTCTTAAAAACCTCAAGTGATGAAGCACCCACAATTTCTGACTGCAAGCTGTTCTTCTGATTAATTGTCCTCATTGTTAGGAAGTTTCTCCTTAATTCCAGGTTCCTTCACTCCTGAATTAGTTTCCATCCATTGTTTTTTATCCTGTCCTCTGGTGCTTTGGAAAATAAATTGACCCCCTCTTCTTTGTGGCAGTGTCTCAAATACTGGAATACTGCTATGATGTCTCCCCTAGTCCCTTTTTTCTCTACGCTAACCAAACCCAAATCCTGGGTTGAATGGTCAGGGACATTTTGATAATTTGCATGGATATCCATATTTTTAAAAATATATTATATGGATGCTCTATTTCTTTTTTTCTGCTTTTCTGGGTTGCTGGAGTGTGTTTGGGCTCATTTAAATAAAGTCCTTATCAGCCTCTCTTGTAGGAGGTTGGGTTGTTGCTTTGGTAGTGGAGCCCCTGATTAGTATGGGTGGCTTTTCTGTAGGCGTGAGTTTCTAGTTTGCCATGGCTCCGGTAGTTACCCCCATTTAAATCATGAGTCTCTAGCCAGATTTTCAAAGCTTAGAGAAGATTTATTAGGAGAAAACATGCCGGAGTTTCAGTTTACCTCGGATAATTTATTTTTAGCCTGATTCCCCTTATTTTAACAGCTCTAATTATGTATTTCTGTGGTCAGCTTTTGTTACTTTTGTAACAGCAGGCTGCTCTGAGTTGTTTCTTTCAGCTAGTGATTCTTGGTTTTCTTAAAAGGGGAAAGGCTGGCTTGAGTTTTCTTGGCACTATTTTCTGAGGTTTCTGGTGTGTGAGGTTTCTGGCACTGTCCTTTTGGGGTATACTTCCCACAGTCTCAAAGGAAGAGATTCTCTGGCTGTTTTACAAACCTTCCCACTTGCAGGACCTGAGGCTGGGGTTGATGCACCTTCCAAGGAGAAGCTGGAGGGATGAAGGCCCCTTGTCCTTCCCTGGTTGTCTAGTGGTCAGGTTTAGCACTTTCACTGCTGTGTCCCAGGTTCATGGGAAGCTTTTACTTCCAAATCATTCATCATCCTACAGGTGAAATTTTCAGGAAAGTTCATTTTCATGGCAAAATATTGGCCAGAAAATTGCTCTAAATTTCCTTCTTTTCTCTGTTCCACCATCCCACACCCCACCGTTTGGTCCTCCAAGAAGGCTTGATAGAGTCTTCATCCAGGGGTAGGATCCAACTGGTTTAACTACCGGTTCAGTGATTTATGATTTGCTCCCCTGCACACTGTGCGCGCATGTAAATCTTTGTCAGCTTGCTGCCTGGACAGCTGAGCAGCGCTGTGTGCAGGGAAGCAGCATTTGAAAAAGCACTTTGTTCCTGCTGTTTCAACCGCAGCTGTGCCTCGCATGGCAGCTGAGTTTGAAAAATCAGCAAATAAAGGTCAGGTAAGAGCCCGGGCAGGCAGGTGGGCCAAAACAGCTACTGGTTCTACAGAGCCAGACAGAACCGGTAGAATCCCACCCCTGTTTCCATCCAACCAGCCTGGCTTGGACCTTCAAAGAAGACGGATGCTGAGTGCAGGAATCACAAGTGACTTAGATGGTCCAAAGCTGTCTATGAGCCACTAGGGGGGGACAGGTGGGTGTCAGCTCTTCATATAGGCTGAGGTGGAGCTGTATCCAACATTTCTGGAGCACAAGGGGTCAAAGGGTCCGGCTGTTGAACAGAAGGATGGGCTGGTTCGAGTTCACCCAAGAACACCTGCAGGTACCTTTCGCTTACTTAGCAAGATAGCTGAGTGGGGAAATTGAAAGACAACTCGTGCCATGTAGTCTGTATGCAGGGATTCGATTCTCATTCCTGTGGGCACTTCTTCCAGCTGACAAGTGATTCTGGGGCTTAGGCCACAGTTATCCTCATAAGAGTTAAACCAAAAACAGAGAGAATGCAAGGTGATGTCAGGGCCATCCATCAAGAGCATTTCTCTTCTTCTCCCACTAAAACAGAATCGGAGGTGCAAAACACCATCCGGTGATGCTGCCTGTACATCCTAGAAGAGCAAAAGGTGGAAGGAGACGTGCGCCAGCCGGGACTCGAACCCGGGTCACAAGATTGGGAACCCTGCATGATGCCCCTACACCACTGGCACAGCTATTGGGAGTCTGTCTCAAGCAATATTTACATCCAGGTTTTTCTCTTTTCCCATCTGATGGCGAGAGCGAGGAACACACTGTGTCTTGAGACCAAGGTATTCGATTGCTGTCTAGCCAGCCCAGCTATGGATGCTCAGGTGTGGGGAGCCAAGAGGGAGGCCTGTGCCAAGTCTCTGTGGCGCAATGGGTTAGCGCGTCTGGCTGTTAACCAGAAGGATGGTGGTTCGAGCCCACCCAGGGACGGCTTGCTTGATAAATTGAGCAATATATGGCAGCAATCCATTGTTTATCCATTTGGTTCTTCATCTTGCCATGCTGTCAGTATTTTTTTCTGATAGATTTAATTATTTAGCCATCTGCTGGAATATTTTTTACTGCCCAGAATTAAAAAGTGGTGCACTGTCCACAAAAAAATGTTGGTTGTTAAAGGAAAAACCACAAATAAAATATATACAAAAAAAACCCACCAAAAGAAATGTAAATTCTTTTGAATTGACTTGAAATTCTAGAACTAGAAAACCTTGAATTACGCCGTCTTCGGTCTGACTTAAGCATGGTATATAAAATCATACATTGCAATGTCCTACCTGTCAATGAATACTTCAGCTTCAACCATAACAACACAAGAGCACACAATAGATACAAACTCAAAGTTAACTGCACCAAACTTGATTGCAGGAAATACGACTTCAGCAATAGAGTGGTCAATGTCTGGAATACTCTACCCGACTCTGTAGTCTCTTCCCCAAACCCCAAAAACTTTAACCTTAGACTGTCTACTATTGACCTCACCCCTTTCCTAAGAGGTCTGTAGGGGGCGTGCATAAGCGCACCAACGTGCCTACCGTCCCTGTCCTATTGTTTCTCTTATTCTTCTCTTATTTTTCTTATATGTACCCATTTCATGTATTCACAACTATGTATACACTTATACTTATTATCTTGTAAACAATTGGCAAATCAAATAAATAAATAAATAAATAAATAAATAAATAAATAAATAAATAAATAAATAAATAAATTGTAAAGCAGGAGAAGGCCCCAGGCTTAAAGGAGGGGAAATCTAGAAGTTATTTCTGCATTTAGTTCCTGCTGAGAATACAAGGTCAGGTCAATGCCAGCCTCAGATTGTATACTGGTTGCAAGTTAAGAAAGCTGAGTGACAGCTTCACAGCATTGTGCTACTGTGGGAATATTATGCTTTTTAGGGCAAAATGTTTCTGCAGAAGAAACGGGCAGCTGCAGGATCCCACAGAAGTCCTTTAAAGGAGATGAGGATTTGGCAATTTCACCAAGACAGAATGCAGGGGGAAAAAATCTCAGATAGACTTTATGAAATCAGCTGCTTGCCTTGAACCTCCCAAAAGTCAAATCCACCCAGCTGGGCAAATCCCTGGAAGAACAGTGCCTCCATTCCACCAAACTGCACACATGACCTCTTCAATCAGTTTCTTTCCACGTATTACGCCTGTAATAGCTTGTTTGGGGGAATCTTGTGGAAAGGAAAAACTCTCCTGAAATGCAGGATTTAACCAGTAACCAGACAATGACAATACATTTTACTCCTTCATCCTTCACTTTATCGTTGACTTTTGGAGGGCACGAATCTCTAAGGAACATCAGCTCTTTAAGCCCTCTTGTACTGCAAACATCAGTTGGGATTGGTCCACCAAAGAAATGGGCATGCTTATTAAGATATGGTTTCTGTGGTGTAGTGGTTATCACGTTTGCCTAACACACAAAAGGTCCCTGGCCTGAAA